CCCCAAAACCCCAAAACCCCAAAACCCCATATAGTTTGAAATTAAGTAATTGAGCAATTATTAAAATTCATTAGTATAATCTCATTTAGCCAATTTCATCTGTCAGAATTACAACATCTTCAGATTCACCCCACAGCAGTTTATTAAAACCTACTTCAACAAGACTCCAGTCTTAATCATTTTGGAATATTGATTTATAATCCAGTATTCCCTCATCATTTCCAAGTTTTTCTAAATCTAGTGTCAAAAGCGAACCTTCCATATTTATAATACATCCATATCTGCCATCAGGAGAGATCTTAATCTTAGATTTCTAATTGCATTTTAAAATTGAAGGATTATCAAAGCTTGAAATAACTTTAAGCGTTCTAAGATCCATAAGATGAATAGTGTTATCTAAAGATGAAGTAACTAGTTAATTCTTATCTGGAATGTATTAAATAGAAGTGATTTCAGCATTGTGATAGTTCTAGAAGTGAGCCAAGTGCCCATTCACCTCATCTGGAGACCAAAGATAAAGATCTCCTTAAGTGTGTCCTGTAAAATAAACTATATCATATTTGCAGACATTATAGCTCGTACAAGCTGTTCTCATTTAAATCTATTAAAACAGTTTAACGAGAATTAGTATAGATATTACCTGCTAAACATTAGAATTCCTTTGTATATCGTATATTTTCATGCTCTTATCCACGCCTACAGTAACTATCCGAGGGTTGTACTTGTTAAAACTGCAATCAGTGATGACCCCGTGATGAGCATTCTTATGGGTCAGAGTAACAAGTCTAGTATCATGATTTATTATTTGCACTTAGCTATCGCTAGTGCAAAATAGCAGGAGTTTATTTGCTGATAAAGCCATTGCAGTAGGTATCTTAGCCTCACCAAGATTAATTAATCTGTAGAGAGATATATCCTCAGTGTCCCAAATAGATATTTTATTCTCATTCTAAGTTGCAATAAACTGTGCTTCATCGTCCATGCAGATATTAATGACTTTTTTATCTGGGAGCTATATTTGCTTCTTAAGTGTTTTTGGAAATGTTGGTTGTTCTTTTTGTCTTGATGAATCTTAGCCTTTACTCAGCTTATCAGTGATTCCCATCATTTAGTCAAGTATTCCATTTTAAATGAAGTCGTAGTCGGTCTTTTTTCTTTCTGGAGAGTCTTGTTCTCTGTTACTTCAGAAACTATCACTAAATTACTGATCATATTCTTCTACAGATACAAATCCCTTAAACCCATTAAACCCATTTCTTGATGTTGTATTTTTGTGTCTGAATGTTTTGGATCTTAACGAAGAATCTTCATCTTCAAGCATTTCCTCCTCGATTTTGTTTTAGGTAATTGTTTACTTAGGCATTTTCTACAGAGTGAAGTTGAAAAATTTGCTATCTTTGGCTACAAACTCTGCTTGCTCTCTTTCCTAATTTTTTTATCTGCCGTTCTAGGACTCTTTCTCTTAAAGTAAGGGTTATTTTTTAATAATTGTATTCCTACTAGTCAATAGCGTTTGCTTTCTTGATTTTTCAGCAGAGTGAAGCTCAAGAATTTTTCTATACATCATTAAATATTGGTCAAAACTTGTTCATATTGCTTAGTTAATTATTACTTATTCGATGCTACTTACTTTTCATGAATTCTGATTTAGGCTTCCAGACATTCTTTATCTTATTCGAGTGATTCATATCTCGCAAGCATTTCTTTTTTATTATCCTCATTATGATCTATGATAAGTCTGAGATTCTCTATAAGCTCCAGTTTCGCCTAATTCTCATCTGTCAAGTCCTCTATCTTTAGCTCCAGACCCTCGATTTCTTCGATCTACTCTAATAGACCTTGCTTTTCTTCTTTAGATAGCTTGAGTTCAAATTCTAACTAAAAGCACCTATCCTTCATTGCAGTGAAACCTTGATTTAACTTCTCTATTTACTCAGTCATGCTTTTGTATAGCTTTGTTTCTCTAAAATCAGCATCAATTTGCAAGCTTAATCACTTACTCAAAATTCTTTTTATTAATGTTGTATTCATAGTTCTCGTAAATGCTTAGCTTTTGCCTCAAATCATCGATAGTCTTTTGCTGCTGGTTTATCATTGAGTAGTACTGCTTGACTGTTCGGTGTTCATCTTGATCTCTCTAATCCAGTTTCCAATCATATCCATGAGAAAAAGTATGCATTTTATTATATATATTAAATTTACGTCACTTACTCACAATTATATATTGAACTAACCCTCAAAGCATTTCTAAATCTAGTTATATGGGGTTTTGGGGTTTTGGGG